TCCAGCTGTTCTGTAGCATCCTACTGATTTCTGGTTGGTACTTTACATCTTCAGTGCCTAAAAAAAATACATGTCTGGCCTTTTCATACTTTAGAGTAAGAAATAACCCAATTAAGAGTCTATGCCCTATTGTGTGGTAGTGATGAACATATTATTGCTAGGGTCTACAAAACATTATTGAGTTTGAATCTGGAAAGTGAGTATGTACAGCATTTTATGATTAGAGTGGGCAAGGAACTTTGGATATAATGTAAAGCTTGAACAATGGGAGAATATGTGGAGGAAAGGTTTAAAATTTACATTAAATTACAATTTGGAAGAAAAAATTTATAAGATGATGTACCGTTGGTATTTAACACCAGATAAGCTATCAAGAATGTATAAAGGTATTCCAAATGAATGCTGAAAATACAAATGTAAAAAAGGGACTTTTTATCATTTATGGTAGATATGTGATAAAGCTAAGAAATATTGGAGTAGGATTCATATTCTAATACAGAATATTCTCATAGTGAATATAAAGATAAAACCAGAAACTTTTCTCTTGGGTTTAATGGAAAAAGACTTGGGAAAAAATGGAACTTTGATGTTATATATGTTGATGGCAGCAAGATTATTCTATGCACAAAAATGGAAGGACACTTTAATCCCCACAATGGATGAATGGTTGAAAAAGCTGATGGGGTTAGCAGAGATGGCTAAATTGACTGCTTTGATTTAAAAAAAAACAGAAGTACTTGTGTTTCTACTTGAAAACCATTTGTGGAATTAGCGCTTGAGGTGGGAAAAAAATGAAACTTTGATTTAGGGTTTTACTGATTAGATAGATTTGTTATTATAGAAGTGGCTAGTTTATACTATTATGTAAAAATAAAAAGCTGAAGGGTTGATGTTACTTCTTATTCTGCTGTACCCAAGGGAGTCGGAAGTCAATGCCTTTTTCTATTTTTCTCTACACGTTTCTCTTCCCTTTTTCCTCTCCTACTTTTCCTATTATTTGCTTTCATATTTTTATATTTTATATTATAAACTAATAAAAATATATACCTTAGATTTTGTAACATCCTCCCTATATAGTTCTATGTCAATATAAAGATAATAGGCCAGTGGCAAAGCCCCTGGATCTTTAGTCCATAATTGATAATCAACCTCCAGGCCACACTCTGGGTTCAAAACAAACTGGATTGCTAATTTTGAGTATTGTTCTACAAAACAGCTTTCCAACATCTTAGAAAGTCATGGTCCCACATGAAATGTGTAGGATGAGATGGTCTTAAAATAAGCTCAGCTTCCAAAGTCACAATCCAAGAAAGACAAAAATTAGAGGAATATAATATACTAGAGGAAGAAGTTAAACTGGAGGATTCCCACTCCAAGAGAAAAAAGAAAGCTCCTCAAAGATATCACATTTGCTTGTGCCAGTGATCATATCAAAAGATTTCTCAAATGATTTTGCTGCCCTGAATTATGGATGCCCAAAATATTAGGGTTAGTCAAGGGCTGTGCTTCCCAACAGTTCAGGAAAAAGAACTTGGACTGCACAAGCTAATACTCCCATTGTGGTGACTTTTCCTCTGTACCAGATTCTGTTAAACATGGCACCAATTTACAATCATTGGAAACCATATTTAGTGTGGGGGTGATGATGGCAAGGCTTAAATTTCCAGGGGAAAGGGAAAAAAACCCATACCCTACTTTACAAGAGAGGGTATTGAATAAGCACATCTTATTGTGAGCCAAATTTTATATAAACATCTTTCTCTGCTACAGTGATCAAACAATAGGAACAGCGTTCCCAGCTTCAACTGTAATATTGACACAGATGCCAGTATCAGTAATATAATAAGGACTTTTTTTTTTTTTTTATAAAATTTTATTATTTTCAACATAGAAAAAAAAAACCATCACAGATATTACACAGTGCTATATGGAAGAGAAAAAAAAAAAAAAAAAAAAAAAAAAAAAAAAAAAAAAAAAAAAAAAAAAAAAAAAAAAAAAAAAAAAAAAAAAAAAAAAAAAAAAAACCCCACCCCCCACCCCAGACTTCCCAAACCGAATCCCAGGATAATATTCAGATATAAGCAAACAAATATTAAAATCTCTAACTCCACAAAATATATTAGTCTACATGAGTAGGTAAAATATATTAAAAAATAAAAAAAACAAGTTTACTAAAAACCTAAATTATATTCCACCACTCTATGCTTCTTTTGAATATAAACAATCCATCTTCTCCATGTTAATAAAAATTGTTCATTTGAGTGATTCTTCAAATAAGCAGAAATCTTTGCCATTTCAGCAAGGAACGAAACTTTCAATCTCCAGTCTTCCATTGTAGGTAAAATTTTACTCTTCCAATTTTGTGCTATCAACAGACAGGCAGCAGTTAAACAATACAACATCAAATTCGTTTCTTTTGCATATAATAAGGACTTTGATCTAGACCAGGGGTCTCAAAACTCTTCAGCTCATCAACCCCTTCATGAAGTTTCAGATTGTTCACTAACCCCAAACATTTATTATACGAAAAAAATAATAGTATTTAATAGTATTATGAATCATAACATTGATGCCTTGGATAGTCCCATCAACCATTGGGGGAGGTGTCAATATCAACCAGTTTGAAGAACCCTGATCTAGAACAATGGTTCACTGTTTTTCTGGGAAAGGAATATCCTCGGCCTTTCAGTGAAATGCCAAGGGTCATATTCTTCCTTTAACCCGGAAGTGGACAGGAATTAAAATTAATGGTATAGTTAATAAGTATTAACTCCTGATATATTTAATATTTAATATTTAATAATTTCCCCCTTCTGTGAATTAAAAAAGTATAGCTCGGAAGCAACTTTGGAAAAGGTTCAGGGACCATAGCCAACACTGGGGAAATGACACAGATTCCTAATCATTATGTTGTACACTGAAGAAGCAGATGTACAGCTATTTAAATGTGAACCCTGAAATTAGTCATGCTTATTAAGGCAATATATGAAACCATACAAGAACATGATGAACGCAAGGATGATAAGTAGAAAGCAAGGACAGAAAAGGACAAGGAAATACAGTGAGTGGTATTAATGTAAATGTAGCTCTGTTTCCTTTCCTCTTTCTCATCTCATCTCTTCCTTTCCTTTAGCTGAATATTTTGTTTTGCTTTTCTGCTCTCTGCAGAGTGATGCTTACTTTGAAAGGGAAGAGCATGATGGGGACGCGTGTTCTAAGGGTCTTGCAAGGACCACAAGTAACAGCAGTACACTACAGGAAGTCCTTGACTTATGACCACAATTGAGCCCAAAAATTCTGTTGCTAAACGAGATGCTTGCTAAGCAAATTTTGCCCCCTTTGATGAGCTTGTCACAGTTAAGTGAATCACTGCAGTTGTTAAGTTAGTAGCGCGGTTGTTAAGTGAACCTGGCTTCCTCATTGACTTTGTCAGGTCACAAAAGGGGATCACATGACCCCGAGACACTGCAACCATCATAAATATGAGTCAGAAGCTTCTGAATTTTGATCACAGGACCTTGCTGCTGCAAGGTTGTGTGAAAAATGGTCATAAGTCACTTTTTTAGTGCTGTTGTAATTTCAAACCGTCACTGTAAGTTGAGGACTACCTGTACTGATTTGGGAGCACGTCTTGTTTTGTAACAAGAAGTTTATTGGGGGGGGGGGGGAAATGGAAGTATCTATAATTTAGCATATGCCTAATCAGCCAATCCCTCAACCATCTTGCACCCACTCATTTTAGTAGGATTCTGCTCCTGCCACCCGCTCTGTCCCCACATTCCACGTTTTCTATTGTTCAGGCATGCTTTTCACTGTAGGGCTCTAAAATTCGGACCTTAGGTCTTCTAATCCTAGTTGTAAGTTACTGTTAATATGCAAATGTTCAGGGCTTCATGGAAATATTTCTCCCAGATTTTTCATGCACACTTTTATTCCTTTACATTTTGTGTTCAAAAACTGATTAAAATTTCAACGCTTGGAATTTATTTTTCAAAATGTCTAAACAAACTATAATAGTGATCAAGAGGCTAAAGAGAATACAAAACAGCCTACTCATTAATTTGTTCTCCCACAATTCATCAAAATCTGCTCAACTGTAGATTCTTGTTGGAAATACTGAATTTGTGGAACTAACATGGCCTCTCTCTTCACAAGATTACTTTCAGCATCCCTGTCCATGACCTGTAACCTTATTCTCAGAGGACAGTACAGTGCGTTAAAACCCTACAATTTAGTTTTCAAGGAAAGTCACATTCAGAATATTTTGTTCAAGTATTCCAAGAACTGGATTCAAAAGCAGTTTGCTTTCTCTCAAAAGCCACTTAAATCATAATTTCTGTCAGATTTTTTTAGTCAGTTTCCTACAGAAACATAATTTCTTCTAGATTTCTAGTGAACTGCAGCCACAATCTCCAAATACATTAACTTTGCTAAGCCGTCCTAATCAACTGATTGCAAAAGAAGGCTTTCTCTTAAGATACAATTGTAGCTGCCCCACAACGCCACTTCCTGTATCATACACACGTCTTAAACTTCTGTAATCAGCATCCACCAGGTGCCGTATCGCATTCAGCACACCCCATTCAGTCAATACAGACATCCCCAAACACACAGAGGCTGGTTTTGTCAAATGTTTTATTGAGTGTAGACATCTGGAGTACTGTAAAACATGCATTATCTGTAGATTCAAAAAGGAGCAAGCCACATTGTCCTCACTGTCAAACATGTCAGGCTTGGCATATATGATGGAGATTAATGAAGTATCAAGAGAGTAATATGATTCCTGAAAAGCTCCTGCAATTTGGAGTAGTCTTAATCACTTGAAATGCAGAGCTGTTCACATTTAAGTGAACTTGTACATTCAGTGGAGGTGTCATGATTTAATTCAAAACAAACACGAGGGATTTAATATGGGGGGATTCTTTATTGTTAGAAATAGCCTTTGCATCTTCCCTGCCCCCCCCCCCATGATATCCCTACCTAAATAAAAACTCATATGCTTTTTTAAGTAATAGAATTTAATTCTGAATAATGAACAGATTGAATAGTTATTTTTTCTTCGGCTGCTGAGGTGTGTTAAACTTAAAGAAGATAACGTCTCCATCTTCAACGATGTAATTTCGGCCTTGTTGTCTGTATTTCCCGGCAGCCTAGGAGACATAGAAAAACAGATGATGGTATTGAAACTGTGTCTGTATAAAGAGTCGATAATAACTATTTTTAAAAACAGTATGTGTTTTCAGTACAACTCATAAATGTTTGGTAACTTTAAACTTCTTGATTTGAGCAGAGTTTGATTGGCATAAATAATCACTGTTTATTCACTGCCATGAAGTTAACTTGTACAGGTAAATGGTAACCAGGATTCTGCACTGCCATTACTTCCATCCATTGATAGGTATGATTTAATATTAAAAGTACACATGGAGAAAAGATATTTTTTTTAAAACTTCCAAAATTATCTTATTGAATAAAAGAACCACCACACTCTTGCATTCTTAGTATGCTATGCTAGCCTGAGTGCACCAGTTTTGGGGCACTGCAATTAGGAAGAACAATTAAGGCAGAGGCCCCCAATCTTTTGGGCACCAGGGACCAGTTCTGTGGAGAAAGTTTTCCGCGGACCAGAGGGGGCGTGGTTTCGTGTGCTGCCTACATCCAGCGGATGGGGCTTCACTTGTTGGCCCGGTTGCTAGTATGACTGGGGCTTGGGGACCCCTGATTTAAGGAAACGCAGCATGTCGCAAAAAGAAAATCTCAAACGATAAGAGACCTGGAAAGAAAAGCTTATGAAGAGTGATGGGAGGCATTGATTAGGTTTGACCAAGAGAAGGCAAGACTTCATATTTTTAGGCATCTGAAGGACTGTCATACAGAATATGGAGCAGAAACATTCAGGTAATTAGACAGGACAATAAAGAATCGGTTTAAATTACAAGGAAGTAGATTTCAGTAGGTCATTGGGGAAAATGTCCTAGCTGTAATAGCTGTTCAGCAATGGAATATACCATAATGGAAGTTGGTGATCACTTCTTTATGGGACAAATTTAAACAAAGGCTGGGTCTGTCTGAGATGCTGTAC